CAATCCACTTTGGATCCGGAGAGAACTCTGTGGGCTTTCACAGTGAATCGCTCTCTCTCATGTTGGCCCTGTTTCCATAGAGACCCTATAAATAGAGGAACGTTGGCGACCTAGGCTTGCAAAGAAAGGCTCAGGGTGACCCAGTCACCCCACCAAACCCTCAACAGCCACGCCATCGGCGGGGCAGAGGGAGTTTCAGACCCAGGCGAGAGGGAGGGCTTTGCCGTCAGCTGCCAGCCGGTGGGATGATTAGCTATAGGTGGCTGTGACCTTTTAAGATCCTCTCAGCTTTTCTGGGAATCGTGGAGAACACGGGGACCGGTAGGAATTGGAAACCGCGTTTGGCCACGTTTAACCAGAGGGTGCCAAGGGCACCGTACCCCCGAAGCATTTTGGGTTTGGCTTCGTGCAGCTGTGTTTGCAGATTTGGGAGCAAACTTCCCCTTTAGGGGACCCACGCCCAGGGAGGAGGACGGGTGAGGCCTAACTGTTTGGAAACCGCAGGCTTCTCAGGAAGGATCTTTCGGAAACCATCTAGTGCCTTCTCTTCCTGAAAGGATGATGCCTCCCAAGGAGATAGGGTCCTTCCCTGCCCCTAAAGATAGTCCCAGGGGCGGGAGCAGGCCTCCCCTCCTTGCCTCCCGAGCTGTCAGCACCGCACCCCGGGGAGCTCTCCTCTCTGCCCAACTTCCGGCCAGTGCCGGGGACAGCGCCTCTCGCTCCGGTCCCGAGGAGCGCCAGAGTTCTGTTTGTGTCCCAGCTCTGACTCCGAAACATCTCCGCTCTCTGTTTCTAGTACGTGGCTTCATTTGGCCACCAAAATGGTTTCTGGCAGCGAGGGAAAAGCAAAAGTCAATGTGGAAAAGCAAGTGACATTTAGTAGCTGGGACCTGTTAGTCAGAGCAGGTGGTGCTTTCTGCCGCGTTGGCGGCTGAGTTCCCTTGAGCTAGTCACCATGGTTTTCCTCACTTCTCAAACTTGTAGCTGGTGATATGTATGCACTGAGGGTTTTTTTTTTTTAAATACTTTACCCTGTCACTCTTTCTTTAACCATCTCCTTCCTGACAGCCACACGGCAGAAGCAGCCCGGCCCCTGTGTCACCTTGCTGTTCTTGCTGGGCACCTTATAAGTGAGAAAAATCCCTTTCATTTGGAGCAGCCTCGTCCCCTGACTCTGTTCTTTGACTTCTTTTTTGTTCTTTCCCTCATGCTTCCCTCGGACCTTTACAGACTCTTCAGTGCGGCTGGGGCAAAGGTCCTGTGGTCACCTAGTCACCTTCCCAGCTTTCCTTTAGCTGCAGAACAGCCGGGGAGGTGGGAAATGATGACTCCGTGTTTCAGAGTCTTGCCCAAGTCCTATGATGTGGCACAGGCAGATCCACGACTACGGTTCAGGGGGCCTACTTTCCCCTGACCCAGTCGTTTTCGTTTTGTTTTAGTCCTGCCCTTGGTACTGTTCGGGGACACATGCAAATGCCATCTGCACTTTAGTCTTGGAATCAGCCTGTAGGCCTGTGAAGGTAAACCAGACTGGAAGTTGGGGGCTCGTCTGTGTGGCTCGAAGGAGCCACTTAGCTATGCTGTGCCTCAGTTTCCTCATCTGCAAAATGGGGATGCTGAGGCTATGATCTATCACATGCCTGGCTCCTCCTGAGAATTAGGCTGGTGTCAGGTTAGTATGAGAGCGTAAATCAGTGAGCACTTTGAAAAAATGCTGTTGTATGATTTGAAAAATAAATTGGCCAAAGTGTTAGGACCCAGGGCACACCGTGGCAGACGGTGGTGGCTGCTGTAGGTCTCCCCGGCACCTCCCCCCCGATTCCCAAGGCTGGGGGAGAGGAAATGCCTCCTCCGAGCCCCAGGTCTTGTGCTGGAGTCTTTTGAGGTGAAACATTCTACCTGCGTGGATAATAGAAGAGGGACCTTGGGATTGGAGGAGCCAGTCTAGGAGAGGAGGGAGAGGAGGAAGGGAACTGGAATAGAATGCAAGAAAGACAACTGGTAACACGTCATGTGACCACTTGGCAGAAGCAGCTGGGCGGATGCCAGAGCCAGCTGGCCCCATCCTCGATGCCTGGGGGGGAGGTCTCTTATCATCCGGGGCCTGAGGGAGAGGGAGGTGTCCTGGCTCGTCCCTGGTCTGGAGGCCGCAGGATCTGGCCCGTTCCAAGCCCATGGTGGAGTGAGCTCCACCGTGCTCTCCGCCTTGGACGTCTTGGTTCTCCCCAGCACAGGTTCAGGTGGCCTCGTGGCCCTGCCTGGGGCTGGCCCCGAAGGGGTGGGAGAACCTGGCACTGTGTAACTTAGCCGTCTCCAGGGCTGCCCCAGAATTCAGTTCTTGGGAAGAAACAGTTGTAGCCTTGATTTCTTCATCTATAAATGGCAGTGTTGCGGTTGTAGCTTTTGTTAGTATCCGGGAAAATCAAATGAGACTCGAGTGGAATAAAAAGCCCCTGGAAAACTACTACTTACTATAAACTGTGTTAGTTCATGATGAGTTGTGATGGTGTGACTTAGCTGGTCTGTAAAATGGGTGACGTAAGGGCCTCACCTACTTTGAGGATGGCGGGGCACTCAGATGAGGCGAAAAATGAAAATCCACACATTTTACACAAATACACAGTAACAGAGTTATTTACGTCCCGATGTAAGTGCAGCTGCCGGCACAAAATCAACGCTGAGGTGGGAGGTAGCATAAGAGTGAGGTCAGCTAATTCAGAAGATGTAAGATTATTTATTTCTTCTTGGTTTCTGCATGGTCTAAGTTTTCTGCTCTGTAAGTTTGTTTCTACAAAAAAGAAAAAAAAAAAGAAAGAAATCCAGTGTGTGTAATTCTTGGGAATGTTTTTTAAAACGAGGCTGCCTCATGAGATTGTGGGTTGTTCCTCACACTGGAAAACCTGCCATGCCTCATTGGGCTCCGAATGGCTGGGTTTTGAGACAAGAGTCTCACTCTGTTGTCCCGGCTAGAGTGCCGTGGCATCAGCCTAGCTCACAGCAACCTCCCACTCCTATGCTCCAGCAATCCTCCTGCCTCAGCCTCCTGAGTAGTTGAGACTACAGGCATGCGCCACCATGCCCAGCTAATTTATTCTATATATTTTTAGTTGGCCAATTAATTTCTTTCTATTTTTAGTAGAGACGGTATCTCGCTCTTGCTTAGGCTGGTTTTGAACTCCTGACCTTGAGTGATCTGCCCACCTCGGCCTCCCAGAGTACTAGGATGACCGGCGTGAGCTACCGTGCCCAGACCCGCATGGCTGGGTTCTGAGTTTTCCTCTTAGGATTCACAGAGTGTGGGTCTCCCCTGAGTTCCACCCGTCCGCTCAGCAGCTCCGAAGCCCTTGTAGAGGGCTCGGCCTGGCCAGACACGCCGTCCCCTGACAGAAGCAGCTGTCTGGAATTACACCACGGTTGCCTCGGCCTGGTGGGCCATCCAGCGGTGTCGCTCTGAGCAGTCTTGCCTGAGGAGCAGCTGGACAAGCTCAGTGACGAGCTAGGAGGCAAGGCTGGGCCAGGGCAGCGCCGGGCTCCAGGGCCTCTGTGCTTTGGTCCAGTCTGAGGGGAAAGCTACCCATCTGGATAGCTGGTTCCAAATATATGCTAAGGAATTGGTCCCAGTCTTGGCTACACTCCAAGGTATGCTCATCGAAATAAAGTTTATTTTATTGCCAACTATGTCAGGAATGAAATTGGCTACACATAACGGAAAATCATGCTAGAGTTGTGTAGACAATGATAGATTTATTTGTTTCATGTAACAAGAATCCCAGGGTAGGCATTCATGACTGGTTTGGTGGCTCCACAGGCCACCTAGTTCCCAGGCCCGTCTGTTGGGCTCCACCATCTATGTGTGTGTGGGGTCTTTATCATCAACCACGTGACCTCATGCGTGCAGAATAGCCACTGCATTTCCAACCATTACATTCACATTCCAGATGGAAAGAAGTAGGGCCAGTGCCTTTGTCAAGAAAACAAAATATTCCCAGAACCCCTCACCTTGCTTTTCATAGGCCAAAACTGTGTCCCTAGCTGCAAGGGAGTCTGGTGAAGCAGGAATTTTTAGCAAGATGAATTAAATCCTTGCGGTTTGGTTGGTAAGACAGAAAGGGAAACAGATATTGGGTAGGCAGTTAGTAGTGTCTGCTACCACAGCGTAACCCAATTGGATGACCTCAATTTTCCCAAGCAGCGCTTCAGTGGGGCATCTTTGGAATGGATGCTTGGTGGCCGGAAAGAGCCAGTGCAGCTTGAAGGACGGTCTAACTTGGAAGGAGGAAAGGACTGAGAGGTTGTGGGGGGAGAGATTAGTCTAGACGACCCAATGCAGTGAGCCAGGTACTGCCTGTGTGTCCACTAAGCCCAAGACTGTAGCCCTGAGGGCATCTTTCCTAGAAACCCTACGTCCACGTTTTGTTTGGAACGTCCTGTGGGAAACCATGGGGTGCATTTCTTTGGGAATGAAAGGATAGGTCTGGGTTGCTGCCTTTCTTTTTTTTTTTTTTTTTTTTTTGAGACAGAGTCTCATTCTGTTGTCCGGGCTAGAGTGCTATGGCATCAGCCTAGCTCACAGCAACCTCAAACTCCTGGGCTCAAGCGATCCTCCTGCCTCAGCCTCCCGAGTAGCTGGGACTACAGGTGTGCACCACCATGCCTGGCTAATTTTTTCTATATATTTTTAGTTGGCCAATTAATTTCTTTCTATTTTTAGTAGAGATGGGGTCTCCCTCTTGCTCACCTTGCAGACCTTGAGCAATCCACCCGCCTCGGCCTCCCAGAGAGCTAGGATTACAGGCCTGAGCCACCGCGCCCCGCCTGGGTTACTGCCTTTTTACAAGGTGACCTGTTAGGCAGGACAGGCCACCTCTAGGGATCCTGCGGGTTTAGATAGCTGCAGTAGCTATGCTGGTCTCCCGAGAACAGACCCTTGGCCTTCCCCCTCCCCCAGGAGGCCTTCTAGAGCTTTCCACTCACCGGGGTCTCTGTCTCTTCTCCCTAAGAAAATCCAGCAGCTCTCCGAGGGCTCCATGTTCGGCCACGGCCTGAAGCACCTGTTCCACAGCCGCCGCCGCTCGCGGGAGCGGGAGCACCAGGCGTCTCAGGAGTCGCAGCAGCAGCAGCAGCAGCAGCAGGGCATGTCGGACCATGACTCCCCGGACGAGAAGGAGCGCTCCCCCGAGATGCACCGCGTGTCCTACGCCGTGTCCCTGCACGACCTGCCCGCCCGGCCCACCGCCTTCAACCGCGTGCTGCAGCAGATCCGCTCGCGGCCCTCCATCAAGCGGGGCGCCAGCCTGCACAGCGGCGGGGGCGGCGGGGGCGGCAGCCGGCGCTCCAAGAGCAGCTCCCTGGAGCCGCAGCGCGGCAGCCCCCACCTGCTGCGCAAGGCCCCCCAGGACAGCGGCCTGGCCGCCATCCTGCACCAGCACCAGTGCCGGCCCCGCTCCTCCTCCACCACCGACACCGCCCTGCTGCTGGCCGACGGCACCAGCGTCTACCTGCTGGCCGAGGAGGCCGAGGGCCTGGGAGACAAGGTGAGGGGGCCTTTCTGGGAGGGGCCGTTTGCCGAGACCTGGGGAGCTGGGCTGGGGGCATCCCTGTCCGGTGCTGACACTTTCCCACCTGCAGAGTCCTCTGTCCTGGTTGAAGGAGCCAGAGGTGTGGGTAATTAAGCCCAAAGCAAGAGATGATCCCCCACATGGCTAATTTTTGTTTGCTTAGGAGCTCGTGTTTCAAAATTACATTTTGCTCAGGGTGATATTAATGTTGGCCGTTCCCCTTAAAAATACTATCTGGAGGCAGTAGGTATGGTAGTTTAGAGCACAGACTGGAGCTAGCTCTGGTTCTGCCACTTCCTGGCTGGATTAGTCACTTGACTTCCTCGTTTCAACCAATTGAAAATGGGGGTAATGATTGTAGAGTTGCTGTAGGATTAAATGAGTTGATATTTATAAAATACTCGGAGTAGAGCGTGGCGTCGTATCAATTTTACTGTCACTACCAACCGAAGCAGGTGGGGAGGAATCTGGAAGCATTGTTGCCTGGGGAGGACAAAAGGTGGTTTGGCAGTTGACGAAGTTAGTGCCAGAGGGTGACAAGGCTGCGAGAGGGGCCATGGCAGCTTCCAGGGAGAGAGGACTGAGGGGGGAGGGGAGCCGGCAGGGACCTGCTGGGGGAAACCATTGAGCTGCATCTTGAGGAAGGAGTATAATTTAGCCAGGGGAGACCTGGGGGAGGGTGTAGCGTGTGTACATGCAAGCAAGCTTCTGCTCGGGGTTACTAGGGGTCATTGTGGTTGCAGCATTCAGTGCTTCTGGGGACCCACAGGTAGGTCGAGGAGGCCAGATCACAAAAGACCTTGCCACACTGAGCATGAAGCCGTCAAAGGGTGTTAGGCAGGGTGGATGATAGATGGGGAAGGGAGCGCAGAACTGGGGTGAAGGAGACCGTTTTTGGAGCTAGTGCAGTAGTGTAGTCTGCAGCAAGGGGACGGAAAGGAGGAGCCGGGTTCAGAAGGCGTCTGGGAGTGAGAATCAATAGTACTAGGGGAGAATGTGGACATGGGGCAGAGGGAGGGAAGGAGCAGAGCAGATTCTGAGGTTGTTTCTGGCTTAGCAACTTTAGGGACGGGGGAATTCTCTCACTGAGGAATCACAGGAGAAGGAACATGTTTTGCAGGGAAGAGGATGAGTTCGCCTTGGTACCTGTCGAATGGCAGGTGCCATCCAACTAGACAGGACTCACTGGCGGCCGCGCTTATGGGGCAGAGGACCTCAGAGGAGGCCAGGCTTGTCCAGGAGGGCGAGGAGGGTGAGAGGTGGCGCCGCTGAAGCAACACTGAGCCCAGCAGAATGCGGGTCCTACCTCCAGAGTGCCTGAAGTGTGGGGGGGGAGAGAGAGAGCGCGGGAGTCTCCCCGATTAAGGAGGCCCCAGGGCATGCGGAGCTGCAGTAAGAGCCTGCAGGGGCCAAGTGCCACTGTGGGCAGGAGGCAGCCTGTTGGCCGTGGAAGGAAGCGTCTGGAAGGTCTAGTAGGAGGGCAGATGCAAGAGAAGACAGCCCCAGTGGAAGGAAGGGAGAGTAGAAGAGATGATGGATGACCAGACAGTCCTACTTTGGGGGGATGTGAGGCCCGGTGGGTTTTGTAGCATCAAGTTTCCAAGGGCAACGCTGGTATGGGGCTGCTTTTACCGTAAATTATCAGCAGGGCAGATACCCCTGTACACGCACGATTCAGAACCGTGCTCCCGTCGACACAGACTGTTTCTCCCGTTCCTGTGCATCTTGACATTTGAAAACATTTGGGAGCTTGTACATTCCACAAACATCCGTGTGTATGCCGCACGCCTGGCACCGCGGAGCCGCTCAGGTTTGGCTTTGCGCTTTTCCAGCTGAGGAAGCGCATTTGTAGGCATCGTTTCATGAATTCATTAAAGCGATGCTGGGAGGTGGCTAAGCCAGGCGGTGACATCCCGATTTTGTTGCACAGGGAATAGATATCCAAAAAATGGGGATATGGGCAGGGGTAGGTGTGCTATTTTGTCAGGTTGATCAGAAAAGGCCTCTCTGATGGTGTGGGGGGAGTGAATTGTGGATAGCTGGGGAAGAGCCTTTCAGGTGGGCAGACCAGCAAGTGCAAAGGCCCTGAGGTGGGAGTGTGCCCAGGGTATTCAAGGAGCCTGCAAGAAAGGAGGTCAGTGTGATTGGAGTGGCGTGAACACGGTGGAGAGTGTAGGAGAGAATCAGAGGGGTGGGCGGGGGATGGGGGCGTGGGGAGGAAGGAAGTAGGGGGGACTGCAGATCTCACAGGGCCTAGGAGGCCAGGAAAAGGATTTTTGATTTTATTTTTCCCTGGTGAGTTGGGAAGTCATTAGAAGGGTTTGTATGGATGAATAACACCTTTCAAGAAGATCTCTCTGGCTGCCGTGTGAATAGACTGTGAGCCGGGGTGTGAGCAGAGAGTCTAGTTCAGAAGCTGTGGAAATGCTCCGGGGGTGAGATGGCGGTGGGAGTGGCGGAGGTGGAGGGAAGCGGCTGGATTCTGGGTTGGCTTCAGAGACTGAGCCACGGAGGTTTCCGACGGGCTGGATCGGGCAGGACCGCGGGGGAGAAGTCAGAGACGGCTTCCAGGGTTCTGGCCCAGCAGCTGGAGAGAAGAGATTGCCGTGAACCGAGTCGGGGAGGATGGCAGCTAGAACAGGTGTCTGGCAGGGGCTGCGGGGGGCATAAATTAGAGCTGGGTTTTAGGTACATTAAGTTTGAGATGGCTATTAAGCCTCCCTCCTTGGGAATGCCAAGTAAGCAGTCAGATGTACAAGTCTGGAGTCCCGGGGAGAGATCCAAGCTGGAGGCATAAATTTGGGAATTGTCAGCATATAGATAGTATTTAAAATGATGGGACTGGACCATTTGCAAGCCTCGCCTGCGCTGGGGAGAAGGCTGTTCTTGGAGTGAGCTCCGGAGCGTTGGCTAGACGGGGAGCGTGGCTTTGTGGGGTGCAGAGACGGAGGAGCCCGGCAGAATGAACCCGGGCGTTCAGCCCTTGAGGAGCCCGCACCCCGCCTGCAGCAGCAGCCAGGCCCACGTCTCTCAGGTGAGTCAGTCAGTGCATTTTAAAGATCAAATTGGAAAAATCCTGTTAAGCAAGGGTCTCTGGTATGTGGCTGTTTTAGGAGGAGGGAAAATGCAAACTGTTCGGCCTCCGGTTGCCTGGAGCTGCCCGAGCAGGCACGGGGACAGGGGCGGGCATGGGTGCCCTTGGGAGCTGGCAAAGGGTGGTCAGCGTTTGCTGGCTGGGGACGCAGGGGCCTGGGGCTGCGGGGCAGGCGCATCAGCTGGGAGCTTCTCTGTGGTGCTTCTCCATGTGGCTTGTGCTTGGTCTTCACGCCGGCCCCAAGACACGTGGAGGGGAAGGAGAATTCTCTTCTCACTGCCTGTGAAAGACCAGGCCCAGAGACTCCTGGGTAACCTGAGTAGGGGACGGGTCCCTGGGTTCAGGGTGATAATGAGGGAAATGGTTATTCCTGTGACTCTTTTAGATCCTTAATTTAGAACTTTGGAACAGGCATTGATCTGATTGGAACAGATCCATGTTCCAACCATGTTTGGAACATGGTTGATCTTAAGAACAGACCTGTGAAGTTGGCAGAGCAGGTATTATCTCCATTTTACAGGTGGACAGACTAAGGCCTAGAGGCATCAACACACTGCTTGCCCAGGGCACCCAGCTAGGTCTTGGCAGAGAGGAGACTAGATCCTGTGTTCCTAGTCTGTCCCCAAGACCCAAGTGAGATCTGATGTCACTGAAACAGCTGAGGACCATTTTATGCAACATCCACAGGGAGCTGGTTTGCCTCAGCCCAAGGAGGATGACTTTATCTCTTGGCTGCCATTTCAGCTGCAGGTATATGGCTTCCTGTCCGGGTGCTGTCCCTCCAGGATGGGTGTGGCCCTGGGGGTCCTCAGGAGAGAGCTGCTTCCTGGTCCTAGAGGAAGGGGGTCTTCCAGCCGTCAGTAAACCCTGCTCTGTCAGCTGAGAGCCGGAGGCCACTGGTTGGCGGGAAGCCGTGGTGGTTCCGCCCTGGTGCCCGGGCATGAATAGGAGGCATTCTTCTCTCCCGAGTAAACACAGCCCCACATGTTCTCTGCAAGCTCCCTGGAGATTACTAGCATCTATTTTTAATTCATAAGCCTCCCCCACTCCCCACACCCCTTGCCATTGTTTAGCAACTCGCCAGCTGGCTTTCGGGCCAGGGTGGGCCCTGTCGGGCTTGGGTTACTGGAGGCAGCTGAAGGTCCTCAGGTGCCCTGGAGAGGCTCACCCCAGCCTCCCACCCTGAGAAGGTAGGGGACCCTGGTCCCCAAAGGGAGCAGGGTGTGACGGGGACAGATAGGGGCTCACAGTCCAGGGAAGCAGCTCAGCCTTGGTGATGGTGGTTTGGCCATCATTTGTTCCCGCTAGATGCAGTTAGCGGTTTCTGAGGTTGTCCCTTCCATCATTTCCCTGTCAATACAACAAAAAAATTGTCATTTCGGCCTTGCCGTTCTGCTTTTTGCTATGTGTGTGACACCAAGAAAGGTAACTGTCTTCTCTCTCTTACGTCTCTGAGTGGGCAAAAGATTGTCATTTGTTGGCGCACCGGGGCACTGGCAGGTGCACAGAGAATGCGGGTGACATCCGTCTCCCCATCCGTGTGTTGCCATGACCTCTAGGACACACAGGCCCTGGAGGAGGTGGAGAAAGAACCACTTGTATGTGCAGCGGAGGTGGAGTTGGGCCACCTGACTCCTCAGAAAGCAGGCGGGTGACGGGTCCCCTGCCTTATTTATTTATTTATTTATTTTTGGTATTTTGCTGATCAGCAGTTCATGGAGAATGTAGAGTCAGAGGGTTGCATTCCCTTTCTCTCATGTCTCCCGAGTCTGGCTGGGCGTCCGTTGTTCCCCCTTGGCCTTCTTCAGAACCTCTCCCCAGCTGTCCCCGTGCTCCCCGCCCAGCCTTGCCCACCCCGGGCTTGTGCAAGATGCACCCAGCT